ATTTATATGTATACATGCAAAACCCATGGACACAGACAATAGTGTGGTGGAGGCCTGGGGCAGGGAGTGGGTGTGGGGTGGAAGGGGTCAATGGGGAAAAAAGGGGACATCTGTAATATTTTGAACAATAAAAAAATAAAAAATAAATAGATGGTGAAATAAAGAGCTTCCCAGACAAAAAAAAAGGCTAAAGGAGTTTATCACCACCAAATCAGCATTGCAAGAAATGTTAAAGAGACTGCTGTACTAAGAAGTAGAAATATGTAGAGAGAGAAACAGGCATGAAGAATTGGCATGGCAATAGATACGTACCTTTCAATAAGAACTTTATATAAATGGATTAAATACTTCAAACAAAAGACAGTGGGTAGCTGAATGGATAAGAAAACATGACCTAAATATATGATGTCTACAAGAGACCCACCTCAGAAAAAAAGACTCACACAGAATGAGAGTAAAGGGATGGAAAAAAAATTCCATAGAAATGGAAATAAAAAAATCTGGGGTTGCAATATTCATATTTGACAAAATAAGACTTCAAACTGAAGGGTATAACGAGAGACAATAAAGGTCACTACATAATACTAAAAGAATTTATCCAAAAAGATGATATAACCCTGGTAAGCGTATATGCACCCAATATAGGAACACCTGCATACATAAAAAAACTTTTGGAGAACTTTAAGGAAGAGATTGACAACAATACAGTCATAGTAGGGGACTGTAACAACCCCTGATTTCACTGGATAGATTTCCAGACAAAAAATCAACATGGAATCAGTGTCCCTAAAAGACACACTCGATCACATGGATTTAATTGACATTTACAGAACATTTTACCCCATAGATGCGGAATATGCATTCTTCTCAAGTGCACATGGGACATTCTCAAATATGGACCACATATTAGGACACTCAACAAGTCTCTACAAGTTCAAGAAGATTGAGATCATATCTCGGATATGACTCTGAGATCACAATGGCATGAAATTAGAAATCAACAAGAGCAAAATCACTCAAAAATATTCAAGCACGTGGAGGCTCAATGGCATGTTCAAACAATGAATGGGTTTACCAATGACTTCAAGGATTAAATTAAAAACTTCCTGGAAACAAATGAAAATGAACACAAGCAACCCAAAATATATAGGACACAGAGAAAGCAGTCTTGAGAGGGAAGTTCATAGCACGACAGGTCTACGTGAAAAAACAAGAAAAACTTTTAATAAACTATCTGACCCTGCAATTTATAGACTTAGAGAACGACAAGAAAATCCCAGAGTAAGTAGAGGGAAGGAAATAATTAAAATCAGAGGAGAAATACATGACATAGTGACTAAAGAAATAATACAAAAGATCAATGAAACCTACTTCAAAAATTTATATGGAACCAAAAAAGACCTCGAATAGCAATGGCAATCTTGAGAAGAAAGAACAAAATTGGACGGATCACAATACCAGATATCAAGTTATACTACAAAGCCACTGTAATTAAAACAGCCTGGTAATGGCACAAGAACAGGCATATAATCAATGGAACAGAGTAGAGAACCCAGAAATGGACCCAAGCCATTGTGCTCAATTAATATTTGACAATGGAGGCAAGAGCATACAGTGGAGTAAAAACAGTCCCTTCAATAAATGGTGTTGGGAAAATTGACAGGTAAATGCACAAAAATGAAACTAGACCGCCAACTTACACCATATACAAGAATAAGCTCAAAAATGGATAAAAGACTTAAATATAAGTTGTGAAACCATAAAAATCCTAGAAGAAACTATAGGCAGCAAAATCTCAGTCATGTCTCATAGCAGTATGTTTGCTAATACATCTCCTAGGGCAATGAAAACAAAGGAGAAAATAAGCAAATGGGACTACATAAAAAAAGAGGCTCATTCATATAACTCAACAAGAGGAAGACAAACAATCCAATTAAGAAATGGGCAAAGGATCTAAATAGATGCTTCTCTAAAGAGGGCATACAGATAGCCAAGAGACATGAAAAAATGCTCAAAGTCATTAATCATCAGAGATGCAAATTAAAAACACAATGAGATATCCCCTCACACCTGCCAGGATGGCTGCCATTAACAAATCAACAAATGACACGTGCTGGCGAAGATGCAGAGAAAAGGAAACCCTAGTACACTGCTGGTGGGAATGCAGACTGGTTCAGCCACTATGGAAAACAGTATGGAGGTTCCTCAAAAAATTAAATATGAAACTGCCATTTGACCCAGTGATCACACTTCTAGGAATATATCCTAAAAAACCCAAAATACCAAGCAAGAAAAATTTATGTACCCCTATGTTCATAGCAACGCAATTTACAAAAGCTAAGATCTGGAAACAGCCCAAGTGCCCATCATTAGATGAGTGGATAAAAACACTGTGGTACATTTACACCATGGAATTCTATGCAGCTGTAAAAAAGAAGGATCTCTTACCCCCTGAGAGAGGGAACTGGAAAGGATTATCCTAAGCAAAATAAGCCAGTCAGAGAAAGTCAAGTATCACATGATCTTACTTATACGTGGAATCTAATGAACAAAATAAACCGATGAACAAAAATAGACGCAGAGACATAGAAGCATGAAACAGTCTGAGGAATCTCAGAGGGAAGGTGCAGGTGGGGGTTAAAGTGGAGAGAGAGAGATTTATCAAAGAACTTATATGCATAATGCATAACCTATAGACACAGACAATAGTGTGGAAAAGGCCTGGGGTGGCGCGAATGTGGGGTGGAGGAGATCAATGGGGGGAAAATAGGGACATTTGTAATACTTTCAACAATAAAGATAAAGTTAAAAAATAAAAATAAAGAAAGAAAGCAGGAGGAAGCATTTTCTACCAATGAACACCGACACTTCTGTTTTCCCCACAGCAGCCACTGACACAAGTTCCTTCCTCCTTGAACCTACTCCTTTAGGTTGATAAAAGCATAATGACATAATGACCTAACCAGCACTCCAAGAATGTCAATTACATTTATCTTCATGAAATCCAAGGGTTATTATTGCCCTTACAAACTCAAATAACTGTAAATAGAAGTTGCCTCTGAACCAAGAATATTTAAAGCCAAAAGTAGAATAGTTGTCTACACTCTTTTGACATAAATATTTTCCCATGAAAACTCTAAATGAAAAGTAATAAAGCACTTTTCTCTCTTTTCCAAACTAACTACTAACAACATTATTTAGATTGCAAATTCCATGAGAGCAGGGATCATGTGTCTGTATTATTTACTGCTGGGAGATCCCAAGATGGCCACAGATTAAATGGAAACTACAGTGACCTTCTCCCAGGTCCAAACTAGAATTACAACTAAAACATAGAAAAATCATCCTGAATAAGCAACTAAAGACTAGCTGGAGAGAACCCTTGTATTCTTTACTGCTATATCTCCTCCCCCAGCAACACAGCCTAGCACATGAATGGATGAACATTAATGATCACAGCAGAAAATTTGTCAACCTCATTGTAAGCACTGAGCACACTTAGGTATAAACACAAAAAGGAAACACAGTGTTTACCCTGAAGACAACACAATCTGGTCTGAGATCCTATTGGATCACACTAACTAAAAAGAATTGAGCTTGGTCAAGCCTTAACAGAAAATCCCTGAGCAAATCGTAGGTAGTCAGACTTAATATTTGACATGTGAGGATAGTACAGAAGAGGCAAAATAAATACCTTCCATGTAATCTACAAGAGAGTTATTAAGATTTGTGCATTAGATGTTTATCACAGGGTAACTACTAGGTCTTCTAAAACCATCTTGGTTTTCTTTTACTGTACTTCACTGCCCTAACATGAGGCATTTAAGGGTTACTTATGACCAGGTTACTGAGATCCATTTGAGAGGTAGGTATATCTGAAAGCTACAGAAAATGAGTTTGTGGGCAATGCTTTGAGGTGAAAGGGATTGAGACAGAACTTTAATACAACAGTAGAAACAATACTTCAGAAGTTTAGCAAGGTGATGGTTACTTGGTATAATCTCTCTCACCCCCAGAATGCTCAAAATAAAATAAAAAAACCCTTGGCCTACTATGGTTATATCGCTAAGCACAACAATGAAATAAAAATGGAAAGCCTCCACCTACCAAACGATCCGCAGAAAACATGAAGTCCCCTCTACTGGCTGTCCTAAAAAAAAAATAAAAAATAAAATAAAAAATAAAAAATAGTAGTACAAGTTTTAGTCTAGATTAAGAGCTTTAAGGTAAAATATTACTCATTACATATAGCAACACTGATATTACAACCTATTACATACTAAAAGTTTAAAAGTTTACATGTACAGACATTTTTCACTAGGAGCTTTAATGGAATGACTTGGTAAGTATTATTGAGAATACTTATTTGATATCAACATTAGAGTTAGGGATTAGAAAGATTATGCAGTTACCCACTGAGCTTCCCAAATATGTTGTTATTCAACTAGAATGATGAACAAGACCGCAGCAGGCCCACAACTTAAGAAAAAACTTTGTAGTAAGAAAATCAGGTTCTCCCTTTCCTCCCCTTCCATTCATCTTGCCTTATTACCAAGATAAGTAACCCATCTACGTTATCTCTAATCCTTTTTGGAAAGAGAATGGTACAAACAAATAAGCCCTATACTTTTGCCACTGCTTTCAAGAATGCATAACTTAATTTCTAAGATCTCTTTCCCAAATTATTGACTGGTAATTTGTTCCTTTTGCCTATTTTTCAATCAAATATTTTGTTCCATAGATCTTTCTGCCATTTTCCTGTACATTTCTTTCTGGTCAATCCTTTCATATCTTGAGGTATCCAAGTAATAATAATAATCCAGGATTGCACCTTCCCACAAGTGTTAACTGGTCAAAAAAGGGAATGTTAAAAGGCTGACTTTTTTTTCAGCACATAAAAATCAAGTATTGTTCCTCCTCCTTCTCCCATACAAGTTAAATGATTTGACTGAACAGACTGAGTTACAGTTTATGTACTTAAAAATCCCCATCTGCGTATACATAGCATACCTAAAACATTCCCCAACACAGCATCAAAATGGCATATGCAAACATATATTATCTCAGTATACCATTAACCATGACTTTTTTTTTCAAATTGCATTTACTTTCTCTGAAAGGAAAAAGCAATGAAATATTCCTAGTACAATTCCTAAGTTTCTTAGAGTAACCAGAGCTCTATCATATTATGATAATAATGAAACAGCAAATCATAATAGACTAGATATATTAGAATATAGCTTTTAGTTAAAATGATTAAATTAGTCCTTCTCAAGAGACATAGTTGCACTGGAATGCAGTCATGTTTTGGGTCCTGCAGGCCTATAAAGCAAGTTTCAGAAAGTATTCTCTACTTAGGATAACAGAAGAATGTAGCCTGGTAAGCATGAAATATATAGCTTTGTTCTTTGCTTTCTGCTCTTAAGACAATGTAACTGACACACAATCAATCACATGATGTTTTACAGAACTCTCTGTTCAAGACCACCTGGTCATAGTTAAGTAGACCAGGACAAGATGCTGCCAGGAGCTGAATAAATCAGACTGCTGAAGCTTGCATAAGAATTGACCAATCAACAGAGCCCATGACCCTGAACCCCTTACTCCTGACTTTTGCCCTTAAAATCCCTTAAAGTCATTGGGGAGTTACAGCTTTAATATAGCTTCCCATTCTCCTTGCTTAGCGTTCTGCAAAAAAAGTGACTGTGCTTTCTCTACTGCAAAACTGGGTGTTTGGCTCTGCTGCGTGCCAAGAGGGATCAACTCTTGTCCTGTTCAGTTACATTAATTCTCTAAAATATGAACCATAATTGAGCAATAGCAAGAATATAGGTCTATATTCTTTATATATAAATATTCCTTAAATTCAGAAAACCCTATTCACACACACCTACTACATACACAGAGAGCCCACTTAAAACAGGCTCTATATTATGTACTGTGGTTTTCAAATGAAACCATACTATTACACTAGCACCTTTCATTTCTGTAACTAATGTTCACAACATGCTTGCCAAGAGAGAAAAAATTAGTGAACTATAAAAGAAATACTGAAGCCTACTGCCCTGTTTGCTAGACCTGTACAAAGTTGTTTGTGTCTACGCAGCCAGAACACAGTTTTTCAATAGGGAAGAAAAGTCTGATTGGTCTTAAAGAAATATCCAGTAACATATCTTGGGAACACATCTGCAATATTTGGTTTTAATTTTTGAACAGTTACACATAAATGTATTACACAGAGTTGACCAAATCTGTTACTTTATTTTGGAATTAGACATTTTAGCACCTTTCACATTCTCCCCCAAAATATCATCTTCGGCTGATAACTTTCACATAATAATTACCTTCTCTACATTCCTAAAAAGGTACACATTATGAACTAATATGAACTGCCATCTCTTTATAGCTATTTGACTTCCAATTAAAGCATTCATTGCTCCAAATCATCTACTACAAGCAGTAATTACTAACATATCTCCTGCTATTTTAGACAGATTTCAGACTCATACTATTTAATTTAAATCAATTTTGAAATTAAAGTACAGCCAGAATACAGTAAGTTGGTTGAATTTTTTTTAAAAATGCACAGTGGTTTTCAATATCCACATCTAAATCCTTAACGCTATTTAACACTAGTTTCATAAAGCAGATATTTACTTGTTAGATCAATCAAGTTACACATTTTCTCCAAGTCCCTAATTTAGGCCCAACATTGGACTAAAGTATTTGTTAATAAAGGTGTTTTACTGTAAACTAGACCTCAGGTTTTATTAATCCCATGCAATTTATTTCACATCATATCTTTATTCACTTTTGTCTTAAAACCATTTTTAAAAAATATCTCATATTAAAAACAAAGCTTTGAGAGACATTTTAACCACCCTCTATCTAATAACAGTCCCAAATTAAAATCTAATGTAAAATTATTACAAAGCAACAAACACGCCAACACACATCTCTGGAATATTCTAAAATATATATATACATGTGACCAAATGTCAAATATTTAAAAAGTGATATACAGACACTCGTAATTCAGAGCATGAAAATCTAATTAATGTTAAGCTGAGCATCTTTTAAATTGTACAAACTCCAAACGGGATTAACGATGCAGACTTAACCCTCTCTGAGAACATAACTTTTCTTGACATTCCACCCAAATATGTCACACATCTGTAGCAACAAAATGAAAGCCAAAGGCAGCCATTAAAAAAAAAATGACCTTCACACTGAAACAACAAAAGAATGAGAATCATACTGGAAGTTAAATCATTTTAATGCGGACTTGATCAAACTAAGTTTGTACGGGTCCAGCAAACAGGGTAGTAGGCTTCAGCATTTTCTGTTGTTCACTGACTTTTCCCTACCTAAGACTGTCTATAAAGCATTTCAAAATTCTCAGAGAGGCTTCAGCAATATTTAGAAACATGTATATCGCAATCCAAACCCCAACCAAGATGAAAAACCTTGAATTTCACTGACCTTTCTTTCAAATGGTTAATAGGTATTTACTTATCATCCATAAGATATAGAAATATAAGAGAGGAATGTTTTTATAATATTAACAATTTAAGATTTTAGATAGATTCTTTCCCCTTTTTCTTTCTAGGCCTCACTGCTGCTGCTGCTAGAGGGATCCCCTAGTTGGTAAAAGACACTGTTGACCTTAAACAAATAGATAATTCTCCAGCAAAATGGGTTTATTTGGGAACAAGAAAGAATTGCAATTTAGGACATGTGATCCAAGGGTGAACCATGGCAAGCCCAGAGAAGAAAGGAGAGGAACTTTTTTTATAGAGAAAAATGGGGGAGGGGATGGAGTTCAGAGGGGCGTTGTAAATAAAGAGTCCATTGGAGGAAACTGGGAGTTCAAAGTGTAGTGACTTTTACTGGCTGAGTCTTTCATTCGCTAAGTGGGTGCCTGGGAGAAGATCCTCCTTCTTTGTAATGGTGTAGTAGAGTAGAAAAACATCTTCCTATTGGAGATGGGAAGTACATCTTTGCAAGTTTGAGGTAATTGACACTGAGTGGTAGGGCATAAGTGCTCCATTTACAAGCCTTCCCAACTGAAATTTAAAAGACATTTCTGTTCATTAATCTTCACAACATCCTCCCCTGGGACAATTACAACTTGAATTTCTACAGCAGAAATGCCCACTTGATCACTCTCTGCTACTTCTCTCTATTCAGAATGAACTTGACAATTCTTCCTTTTTTCCTACAAAAAATATTTTTATAACTCTTGCTCTATTTATATATACATATATATGCCAAGTGTACAAAGATTTAACTATAAAGCTTTTCTAAAGAGGTCCAAAAGTTACAGCAGGTAACTAATATTATACATATATTACTCCCTTCTTTCCCACAGGTCACCATTTATTAAAAGCCTCCTTGGTGCCAAGTAATAAGCACTTTTGGTGCATTACCTCATCCAATCCTCACAAAACCTTAAGAGGTAGATTATGCTATTATCACCATTAAAGTGATAAAAATATGGAAGCTTACATAGGTAGAGTATTTCAAAGTTCTTCCCAGCCTGAAGCTGTCTGACTTGAAGTCCTTGAGTAAAGCAATTATTTATATTTGCTCTAATAAGGGAATGTTTACTAAAATGTAACCAATTTTTAGATGTAATTTAATGATATTTCTCTCACTGTGAATCATACTGGCATATACATACAATGCAAATAATAAAATATAGAGTCTAGAAGCAAATAAAACATGAAATGTTCCTTCTGAAGAGGGAGCACCTAACACTATAATATGGCTTGTAAATAGTATATACTAAGGTTAATGCATACAGGAATACAGCCTTTCCAAAGATGATTACATGAAAGCTTCTGTTCCATTATTTAAAACAATTTAATTTAAATAAAATCCCAGTAGCACTGAATTAGGTGACATTTCAAAAATGAGGATTATGACTCAAGGAGTGTTTTCGGCATTTGGTGTGGGAGGAATTAGGGTTGGGCCTAGGGTTGCCAGATTTAGCAAAGAAAAATTCAGGAAACCTAGTTAAATTTATATTTCAGAAATATGTCCCATTCAAAGTTTAGGATATACTTATATGAAAAAAGAATTCACTGTTTATCTGAATTCACATTTAATTGAGTATCCTGTATTTTACCTGGCATCCAAAGTAAAGGA